AGAGAGAGAGAGAGAGAGAGAGAGAGAGAGAGAGAGAGAGAGAGAGAGAGAAGGAGAGAGAGAGAAAAAAAGAGAAAGATAGAGAGAAAGATAGAGAGAAAGAGAGACAGAGAAAGAGGGGAGGGGGATAAATAGATAGAGAGAGAGTCAATGAGAGAGAGAGACAGAAACAGACAAAGAAAGAGAGAGAGAGAAAGGGAGAGAGAGAGAGTCAAAGAGAGAGAGAGAGAGAGACAGAAACAGAAACAGACAGAGAAAGAGAGAGAGGGAGAGAGAGAGAGAGAGAGAGAGAGAGAGAGAGAGAGAGAGAGAGAGAGAGAGATACCCAAATGCCAGCAATGCCGTTCACGAATAACAACAACAAATAACATTAAATACCAATTTCTGAGTCAACGATGCAAACATTTTGCTGCGAGACATATTATTAGTAGTGAGGGCGTGCTATTGCTAGGACATTTTTTAAAAATGGTGGTGAAATCAGGCGCTCGTCAAAATGTGAGGCATCGTGGTGGAATCTGGCTCTCGTCAATTTTTGGGCTTGTAGAGTTATGGGTATCATCTTAAAGCTTGTTCACTTGTCTATATTTGGATGGAAAGAATATCCATTTATCTTGAATACAAGTCGAGATATTTTCGAAAGAAGGAGGTGGGGGTCACCTGTTTTCTGAGGTAAAATTAGTGAGAAAACGGCCGCCAAAGATTAGTTATTTCCTTAGCTTTAGAGTCCGTGGTAACTGAAATTTTTTATTTTTTTTGTGCCTTTAATCAGCGCTTTTCAGAAAAATCCACGCAGAAATGAGTTCTTTAATGGGCACGAAAGTTGTTGAGCCAAAAAAAAAAAAATTTGAGAAAAATTCACAAACCTGTGGAAAAATGCAAGTGTCGTCACTTTGATTGTTTTTGACGAGAGCCTGATTCCTCCACGCTGCCTCACAAATAATCAAATCGAAAAAACAGGTATTTTTTGTCTACCAGTTTAGTCATTTTTATGGATTTTGTTGTTGTTGTTGTTGTTCAACACCTTTTATGTCAATGAAAAAAAACCACATGTAAATTTTACTGAAAAACGTTGAATAAATGTACAAACTAAGTAAAGGTGTTTTCAGTTTTCTGGGATTCTCAGGCTATTGGAGTTAACAAACTTTGGTGGCCATTCTCTCGCTATTTTTACCTCTCAAACCAATTGAGCGCTCTTTGTCCAATCGCAACCATCTCGACTTCTATTCCAGAGAGAGATGGGTACATGTATTTGTTTCACTGACGTCTATTCCAGAGAGATGGGTACATGTATTTGTTTCACTGACGTCTATTCCAGAGAGATGGGTACATGTATTTGTTTCACTGACGTCTATTCCAGAGAGATGGGTACATGTATTTGTTTCACTGACGTCTATTCCAGAGAGATGG